CTGTTGACGTATAGATAAAGATAATCAAGAACCGGGATACGGGAAATCACGTGGGTCCGTGTGGTACGCCGGGAACAGCTGTCGGCAACACCGTCCCCCTTCTAACCGTTGCTAGAAACAACGTTATTTTATTCATATATGTTAACAAATTCATCACAAAAAAATGTCTATTGCCTTTAGCACTACTGTTCGTAAGAGACACGTGACCTGAACAAGAACAGATGTGTGGTTCTTTGTGAGAAAAATGGTGCAATGAGAGGAGCCTTGATGACGAGTTACAAGTTACAAGTTACTAGCGCCTAGTTACTACGGTACAGCAGTTGACGCTATATATATATATATATATATATATATATATATATATATATATATATATATATATATATAATATATATGTGTGTGTGTGTGTGTGTGTGTGTGATGTTATGTGTGTGGGTGTGTGTGTGTTATCTGTGTGTGTGTGTGTATATACATTGTGTGTGTGTGTACGTGTGTACATATGTGCTCACATGTATGCATACATATACATGTGTGTTACATAAATACATATACACATAAACACACATAACATACATATAATTTTTGGGCACGTGGCGTCTGATAATCTCATAATGTAGATCATGAGATATTAAAATATTCCAAAACCGCGTCTAAATTGGTGTTTTGTGTGCGTGTGTGCTGTGTGTGTGTGTGCGTGTGTGTGTGTGTGTGTGTCGCATGTGTGTGTATTGTGTGTTATGTGTGTGTGTGATGTTGTGTGTGTGTGATGTGTGTGTTGTGTGTGTGTTGTTGTGTGTGTGTGTGGTGTGCGTACATGATGTGTGTTGTGTGTGTGCGATGTATGTGTGTGTGTGTGTGTGTGTGTGTGTGTGTTGTGTGTGGTGTGTGTGTGCATGTGTGTGGTGTGTGCAATTATGGTCGGGTGTGTGTGCGTAGTGTTGTGTGTGTGTGTGTGTGTGTGTTGGTATGTGTGTGTGTGTTGCATGTATATGTGTGTTGTGTGTGTGGGCATGTATATGTGTTGTGTGTGTATAGTATGTGTGTGTGCTGTGTGTGTGTGTGTGCGTGTGTGTGGGTGTGTGTTCCATGATATATGCGTGTGTGTGTGTGATGTGTATGTGTGTGTGTGTAGTATTGTGTGTGTGCATGTGTGTGTGTGTGGTGTGTGTGTGCATGTATGGTGTGTGTGTGTGTGGGCATGTATATTGTGTGTGTTGTGTGTGTGTGTGCATAGGTTGTGTGTGTGGTGTGTGTGCATGTATATATATATGTGTATGTGTGTGTGTTGTGTTGTTATGTATGCAGTATATATGTTGTGTGTGTGTGTGTGTGTGTTGCATAGTGTTGTGTGTGTGCTGTGTGCGTGTGTTGTGTGTGTGTGTGTGTGTGCATGTGTCGTGTGTGTGTGTGTGTGATGCGCGTGTGTGTGAGTCTGTGTGTATGTGTGTCTATGCGTGTGTAAGTCTGTATGTGTCTGCGTGTATACGCATGTAACACATGTACGCAAAAAAAAAAAAAACAATATCTCGTCAGCTTTTTTTTTTTCTACGAAATTTTTTTTTTTTTTTTTTTTTTTTTAAGGAATTGCACAAACCGACAAGCATATTGCATTTTCAAATCAAATCTTCCTTAATCATAGTATAAAAAAAACGGTTCTTTTCAGACAGCCAACAACTATCAAAAAATAAATAAATAAATAAAATAAATTCATCACCTAATCTTAAATTAATTTACATTAATTAATCCATTCTTTTATAATACGTAAATCCATTAGATTTTTTGTTTTCCATTCTACAAGTACACGTTTCTAATTCCTTTCAGAAGTAACGAGTATTGGTCAAAAAATTCTCCTTCGAACCGGATTCGAACCAGTGACCTATGGATGTCCGCTTCTGAACCGTCTACAGTCCACCACTCTACCAACTGAGCTATCGAAGGTGTAAGATTTTGTTATGTTAACGTAGGAAAATTTTGAAAAATTGTGGCGTGTGTGGGGTGGGGGGGGGTGGGGGGGTGGGTGGGTGGGTTGGTGTGTGTGGTGTGGGTGTGTGGGTGTGTGTGTGTGTCTGTTGTGTGGGGGGTGAGGGAGAGAGAGAGAGAGAGAGAATGAGAATGATTTAGGTGAGAGAGAGACAGAGAATGAGAGATAGAAAGAGACAGAGAATGAGAATGAGATAGAAAGTGAGAGAGAGAGAGGGGGAAAGAAAGAGAGAAAGACAGACAGACAGACAGATACAATAGACAAGATCCAGATAATATATTAAATTAGGCAATCAAACTGATACATTAAGGTCTTAGACTTAACAAAGATAAAAGCTGATGGTGAACCTACGGAGGACCTAAGTCAGGGGTGTTAAAAACCCTTTTCCCTTCAGCTGCCGTCTTGAGGGCCAAAATTTACTTTTTATATTTTAAAAGGTGATGATAATGGTAAGAAATTGTGCATGATGCTTTTTTTTCCTTCATGATCATAATTTCACAGGATAATTATTTGTTATTCCCTGTTTAGAGAAAATAGGAATTTAAAAGTAAGATTTATAGTTTATAAGAGAACTTTCATTCCCATAATCTCCTTAATCTCATTTCGTTTTCAGTAAACTTCAATTGTTTTAAATATATTATGCAAATTGCAGAAATAGAAACCGTAGCAAAAATAATTTTCCAATAAAATATTAAGCGGAGTCTTTGGCCAACGCCCGCATTCGAAGGCAAGTAACAAGTACGGTACGCGGACGACGCTGTTGCCATGGTTACGGTACACACAGCGCAAGTCTAGCCATCTATGGGGGTCGCTTGAGAAATCAAGAAAAAAATCGTGACTCGAAGAAAAGGTCTTGAGGTTTTTAGGCAAGACATTTCCCTGCTTAAAACGCCCAAAGAATTATTTAGGCAAGAAATTTACCTGCTTAAAACGAAATTATGTTTTTAGGCAAGACATTTCCCTGCTTAAAACGCCCAAAGAATTATGTTTTTAGGCAAGACATTTCCCTGCTTAAAACGTGCTTTCCTAGGCAAGACATTTCCCTGCTTAAAACGCCCCTTATGTTTTTAGCAAGACATTTCCCTGCTTAAAACGCCCAAAGAATTATTTTTAGGCAAGACATTTCCCTGCTTAAAACGCCAAAGTCTTATGTTTCTAGGCAAGACATTTCCTGCTTAAAACGCCCAAAGTCTTATGTTTAGGCAAGACAGAACGAGTATGTTTTAGGCAAGACATTTCCCTGCTTAAAATGCCCAAAGAATTATGTTTTTTAGCAAGACATTTCCCTGCTTAAAACGCCCAAAGTCTTATGTTTTTAGGCAAGACATTTCCCTGCTTAAAACGCCCAAAGAAATATGTTTTTAGGCAAGACATTTCCCTGCTTAAAACGCCCAAATATGTTTTTAGGCAAGACATTTCCCTGCTTAAAACGCCCAAAGAATTATGTTTTTAGGCAAGACATTTCCCTGCTTAAAACGCCCAAAGTCTTATGTTTTTAGGCAAGACATTTCCCTGCTTAAAACGCCAAAGAATTATTTTTTAGGCAAGACATTTATTAAAACGCCCAAAGTCCCCTGGCCCAAAGGCAAGACATTTCCCTGCTTAAAACGCCAAAGAATATGTTTTTAGGCAAGACATGCTTAAAACGCCCTTAGGCAAGACATTTCCCTGTTTAAAACGCCCCTTATTTTGAGGTTAATAGGCAAGACATTTCCCTGCTTAAAACGCCCAAAGAATTATGTTTTTAGGCAAGACATTTCCCTGCTTAAAACGCCCAAAGTCATTTTTAGGCAAGAAATTTCCCTGCTTATCACGGCTTAGGCGGATGTGGTAATCTTTAAAGACTAAGGACTGACTTGATTAATCTTGTAAAACTGAAACGGCCATTCTGCAAAAAGAGGTTTAATGAGAAAAAGAGGATAATTTGCTAGTTAACGTAAACACAGGTTTCTACTGTTCAAGCCAGGATTTCATTTCAGCTGCTGCACCCCCTGCTCTAACCACCAGGCTACTCCTTTTTCTCGAAATGTCCTGAACAGAGCGTCCCATTCGGAAATCCGGCCACAAGGGGAGTGGAATAGGATAAAGAGACAGGATATTTCTTCATGATAGGATTATATCTTGTGATGTTGACTTGACGGAGCGGCGACAGGTAAGGATGTGGCTTGTGGCGGAAGTGCAGATATACTCTAATACTTTACGATATTTCATCTTAATAATTGATGTTTGCATGTATATAAAACAAATATATTTTCCTTTTGGCTGCCACCTACAAGCTATTTACAAACATTAGCTGATAAATTCCGTAAATATGATTGGCTGAGCGTCCTTCCAGCGCTGCACGGTGATTGGTCGAGGCCCAACGGCTGAGATGGCGTGGTATAGCTACCCCGCCCCCTCCTCCCCAACGGAAGTGGATAATAAAAGGAAAAAATGGCCAACTTTCGAGAATGTCTCATCCCAGTGCCACTCACGGTCAGCGCAGAGACCCGAGAGAGAGAGCCCTGAGCATCCGGTCTTTGGCTTTTCTACCATATCCTAAATTTAGCTTTTTTTTGTACCTTTTAGGTCTAATCCACTAATAAAATCCAAAGCCAATGGAAACCGTGCAGATGAGTATATGAATTCAATGAAATACAAGCGACGAAAGATTGTTCAGCCAGGACTTGAACAGTTTGTAATGCTATGAATAAAATGTCATTATTTTTAAAATGTCCGTTTATAGAACTCAGGAAAGAATTTCTCCGAACATCTGAGATAAAATATAAAGAATAGAGAAGACAAGCCAAAGCTCAGTGAACGAGTAAAAGGTTAATGCATATAAACATGATGGATTTATAAATGCAAACACTACCATAGTCTGAACTGAATTGAAACATTCTAATTCACCCAATGGGAAAGGCTACATCAGTAGTAACTCGAGGAGGTTTTGATGAATGTTCAGAGAAAATATAACCATTGAAATCATTAGTTTCCATTCTTTATGAAAACTGAAGAGACCAAAATGATGGACCATATTAAAAAAACATCCGCCATCTTTGTGACGCCATCAAAATAAACCCCATATATATATTTTTTTTACAAAAATAGAATCAGACGCCATGACACCTCGAGTTGCTACTGATCTAGCCTTTCCCTGTACCAAAAACTATGGCAGTTTTCTTTTCCCTTTTTCAATTAAATCGAGTTATAATCTTCAAGACCAATTTTTCATACTTATTTTCTTCGGCAACGTAAGAACAAGACAAGGGTAAAAAAGGTATGAATGAGAATGGATATCTTCACGCTCCAAGACGTGTATTTGACCAGTTTCGTTTCTCTCTTCGTCAGAAATACATGATCTATGTAGTTATTTAAATCCCCGTTCCTCATTGCAAATTACAATTAACTTATAATTATAGCACAAACCACGGAGAGAGAGAGAGAGAGAGAGAGAGAAATAAAGGATTGGTAACATTAGGAATTTGTGTTACCAGAGTTTGACATGTATTACAACGGGCAAAGAGGCACTTAACATGGCTATGATACAGAAGTACACCTTGATTCTGTAACACGAAAACGTACTATGTAAAGCAGCAAGATTTCACACACTGGATATAAGTACTGTCTTAATTTTATTATAATAGCTAATGGACAAATATACTGATATGAAATAGGTGTGGTATGTGCCAGGTGAGTCGAAAATAAGTAAATCTGCCGAACTTACATCTAAATACACTATTATATCATACTTTTTGTCATCTGTAGTATATTCTACGGAAAAAATATGAGATTGGTAGTTTTTAAAGAAAAGTCTAAATAGTTTAGATTCAGAATTATTTAATATCTTTGAAAATGTGCTTACTAGTTTTTGAAAAAATAGTTTAGTAGCTTCTGAAGAATAGCTTAATAGTGTAATTCAAGAATATTCTACATGGTTACGTGAGTAATTACCAAGAACACGACACACTCTTACCAACATCTTAATTTTCATTTTGTGAAAAATTATACATCATAGTGTAAGTAATGAGTTCACGCCATAGTTTATCAATTACATCAATTATGTGTTTGACCAAAAAGAAAAATTGATTTGGGAAAATGCAAATAACGTATAACCAGATGTTGAGGCGACACGGTAAAAAAATTAAAATAAAATAAAAAATAAAAGATAAATAAAAAAAAAAAAATACATGTAAAGCAGTATCACCAAAACTACTGATTCTGATTAAAATTATTTATACAAAAGTACCATTATTAATGATACGAATGAAAAACTAAGAATGTGAATGTAAAAGATAAAAGTTATCTTATGTTGATAATGATAGATTTTAGTAGCTAAACAAATACTATTGATAAAGATGGTAATTAATATTAGAATGATAATTATAGCAGCAAAGCTAATGATATTAGTTATGATGAGGGTAATAATTTCAATTTCATTGATAATAGCAATACTAAAATGATAATAATGATTATAATTATAGCAATAATGATAATAAGAAATTATGATAACAATAACAATGATAATGATAAAATAAAAATAACCAGAAAGAACAATTATGATTACAACCATCAACTCAAAACACGATCACACAGTCCAAAGTAACCAAAACCCTCCTTGTCAAAAAAAAAATAATAATAATGATCAATAAATAAATAAATAAATAATAAATAATATAATAATAAAATATATATAATAAATAAATAAAATAAATAATATATATATAATAATAAAAATATAATAATAAATAATAAATAAATAAATAAATCAGCAGGAGCAGAGCGTCTGGAACACCTTCCTGAAGAGCAGGAGCGAGACGGTGAACACGAGGCCCAGGATCTCAATGGCTGAGATGACGGAGGCTCCCAGACAGATGCCGATGTGGCCCCCGACGCTGCCTGGGAGGGAGAAAGGGAGAAAAAAAAGGGTGGTTGGCTTAGTAACCATTGAAATCGTTAGTTTTCCATTCTTTATGAAAGCTGAAGAGAGACCAGAGAGGGTGGTTGGAGACGAGGAACGAGTGGAATTGGTCGTTTGGGTGTGCGGTTGGTTCGTTTGTTTGGGTGTTCGGTTGTTTGTGGTTGAGTCTGGCTTTGTTTGTTCCGTTTTGGTTGTTTCTGCTTTTGTCTGTGGGGTTGTGTGTATTTTATCTCTGGTTCTCTCTGTCTTTGTCTCTCGTTCTCTCTCTCTCTCTGTCACCGTTTGCTTGTCTGGTTCTCTCTCTCTCTCTCTGTCTCTGTTTTTCTAGTTCTCTCTCTGTCTATCTCTCATACACACACATGTAAGGGACGTATGTGATAAGCCATACTGAAATCAGGGTAATAAAAAAAATCTTAAAACTATTTTAGTGTTTCTCTTTTTTCATTTTTTTTAAATTATTTTTCTTATCCCTGCTCGAGTATTTCTCATTTTATTGTGATCATCTCATTCTCATGATTATTTGAAGACTTTTTTTTATCACAGTCGTGCCGTTTCTCTGTGGCTCTATTTCCCCTCTACTTGATAATCCCAGTAATTTGATAATGCCAGCTTTGTAATGGATCTTCATATGAGTGATTTGTCATGTGAAAACTTAAGCTAGCAAGTGTGTGGTCGATGAGATAGCAACTTATTTATTTCTGTCTCGCTAACCGCAGTTTGCTAACCACGATGGTCTTACGAAACACCCCCCTCCCCCTTCCCTTCTCCCTCATACCCCCCCTCACCCCGGTGCGGTTGATGGAACTATATTATGTATGGATATGAAAGAAAGAGAGAGAGAAAGACAGAGGCAGAGAGACAGAGAGAGAGAGAGAGAGAGAGACAGAGAGAGAGAGAGAGAGAGAGAAGACAGACAGACAGACAGACAGAGACAGAGAGATTGAGAAAAAGAGAGAGAGACAGACAGACAGACTGAGACAGAGACAGCAAGACAGACAGAGACAGAAAGAGAGACAGACAAGCAGAAATAGAGAGAGAGAGAGCGAGATTCAGAACGTTTGTACCGAATCCAAACCATCGCTAACGGAAATGTTAAAACTAAACAAAATAACGGAAATTAACTTGAGAACACTTCAACGCCTCTTAATGTTAAAGTCCATTGACATTAATTAAAAAGGACCAAATAATCCTTCATTATTATTTTGAAATGATTATGAGATGCTAATTACTAACTTTTCCATTAGTAATTAAGACAAAGGCAGAGAGACTGAGATTTAGGACATAAACATACATAATTAAATACATCTTTCTCAGTCTATAGATACATATCTGTCAGATAAGTAATTAGATCAATGCATATCTATAAATCTATATCTATATCTATAAATCTATATATCTATAAAATCTATATCTATATCTATAAATCTATCTATAAATCTATATCTATAATCTATATCTATATCTATAAATCTATATCTATAAATCTATATCTATATCTATAAATCTATATATCTATAAATCTATATTTATAAAATCTATTATCTATAAATCTCACAACTATTAATTAAAAAATATTTAGAAACCTTAGTGACCAATTTTTAAGTCACAATTAACCTTCAAACATTATTAATTTTTAAAATATAGAAAACCTTAGTGACCAATATAAGTCACAAGTAACCTCACAACATTAATAAAAAAATATATAGAAAACCTTCAGTAAGTATAAGTATTTTTTTATTGTGACATAGAAAACCTTAGTGACCAATATAAGTCACAAGTAACCTCACAAAATTAATTTTAAAAAATATAGAAAACCTTTAGTGACCAATATAAGTCACAAGTAACCTCACAACATTAATAAAAAAAATATAGAAAAAGTAAGTATAAGTATTTTTTTATTGTGACATAGAAAACCTTAGTGACCATAAAAGTCACAAGTAACCTCACAAATTATTTTAAAAAATATATAGAAAAAAGTGACCAATAAGTCACAAGTAACCTCACAACAATATAAAATATATATAAAAATTTTTAAAAATTTACTTACTGAACCACATTTCCAGGTTGGGTCTTGACTGGATAATCTTCCTGTAGGGTGTGATGGGTAGTACACCGTCACCAGCGATAAGGTCGAGTTGCTGCGAGGAAGAGAAAACAGGTTTGTGTTTTGGTTTGTGTTTTCAGTATGTGTATATGTATATATATGTGTGTGTGTGTATATATATATATATATATATATATTATATATATATATATATATATAATATATATATGTAAACATACTCACACACACACACACACACACACACACACACACACACACACACACACACACACACACACACACAACACACACAACACACACACACACACACACACACACATATATATATATATATATATATATATATATATATATATATTATATATATATATTATATAGATAGATATAGATATAGATATATTATATATATATATATTATATATATATATATATTTATATAGATAGATATAGATATAATATATATTATATATATATATATATATATATATATATAATATATATATATATATATGTATGTATACATTTCTCTATGTATCTACTATCTCTCTCTCAATCTTTCTGTTTTGTGATATGATGTGGAATTTTTTTTAATGTTTCTTTCTGACAAAATGATTTGGAAAGAAAAGATTATGTATTTCTTAATTTATGGCGAGAGAATAACGACTATTTTTTGTTGCTGTTGTTTTTCTTATAATGATAATATTTTTTTCCTATGGGATTAAACGATTAGTATTAATAGCATCATTATTTTTTATTACTATTATATTATACTATTATTTATTATTATTATTATTATTGATGATTATAATCTTTATTACTTTCCATATCATCATTATTACTCTTATTATCATTATTGTCATTATTCTCATTTATTTTTATTATCTTGATTATGATGTTGACGATTATTACCATTATTACTTTCATTATCACCATTAATACTATTATTATCATTATTGTCATTCCATCATCATCATATTATTTATTATTATCGTTATTGATCATCATCATCATTACCATTATACTATTATTTATGTTATTGTCATTCCATCATCAT